TGAATTACTTGAATTTTTCAATTAAAAAAATTAAAAACAGAATTGGCATTATTTGCATTGGTGCCATCTGGAGATCACAATAGTACTTAAAATTATGCGCCAGATTAAGAAAATTTCGGGTACTAAACAAAATCTATAATTCGGATTTCTATATTTATTAGTGGATTTTCTTGGAGGGGTTGGATTAAATTGTAATACAAGAGTTGCAACGCAACACTAAGCGAACTACTCAGAGGGATAACTTTAGGGAAGATTTTGTATCAGAAACTGGCCCTTATTTAGATGTTAGATACGTAAAGAAAAACTTCAAATGGTAAGCCCATTGATCAGACATATATCCGAAACCAGTGTTCAATTGTTTTTTTCAGTCTGCTACTTGGGGACCCCTTTTAGAGACATTCACATTATTCATAATTACACTTAAGTAGATACTTAAGTGTAAAATTTGACTTATTTATGTGAGACCTAAGTCCTGCCTTGAATACGCAAGAACTTTTCGAAGTACGAACAACCTTCGCAAGGCACAGTAGTAAGTAAAGGCACAGTGCTTTTCACTAAAATTTAGTAGTTTCCTTCATGCTTAAAAATTTCAATGAAAATTTTAATGAAGCTATTAATATTTTATTCAATTCTTATCTATATATATAATCGAGACGGGTTGATAATAATAATGATAATAATAATAAGCGCACAGCCCAAACGGTTAGGAGTTGAAAGTTGAAATTTGGTACACAGTTAGGGTACGTTACGAAAACGCACACTAAGAAGGGATTTTTCGAAATTCCTCCCCACGGGGGAGAGGGACAGGATTAAGGCTTAACACTTCCATCAACAATGGAAGTGTTAAGTAACAATGGAAGTGTTAAGTAACAATGGAAGTGTTAAGTAACAATGGAAGTGTCAACAATGGAATTGTTACGTAACAATGGAATTGTTAAGAGAAAGCGACGTGCAATACGCAGATGCAGTTTTTTTCGTTTTTGCGGGAAATCGAACATATTTTTAGACCCATCTAAAAATTGTCTAAGGGGACGCAATTCTTGCATTCTGTGAAAACGGGTAAGGTTGACTGTAACGTAATAATCTTTATCTTAGTTATCGTTACTTTTGCCCGAGCAATGCCGGGCCCACCTGCTAGTTTTCTAATAAACAAGTAAACAGATTGACAATTTTTGTTCAATGTGATTTTATTCCCAACATTTTCAAGAACGGTGTAATTTTATTTCAACATTACAAAATCTATATAAACTATAAACAGATCAAAATAATTTCAAAAGTATATAAAAATCATTTACTTTCATTAGAATTATTAAAGTAGAACTTAAATGTTTGCAATATACAAAATTATTAACATGAAAATACAGAAATAGAACTTTGAAAGTGAATTAAAATGTATTTAATCGTGAGTAATAGATATAATGTGTCATGTTTTTAATAATACTTATTTTATACATAAAATAACTAGATAATAATAAATTAATTTATTTCCACCGCATTAAATCTATGAAATTGCATAGTTGAATCACCAAAGCAGACACCTCTTCTCCGAAAACATTTTTGATTTCGAATTGCATTTGAATGCTTTATAAAAGTCTTCGTTATTAGCGAGTGTTCCCCAAACTCTGAAAAAGAATAAATTAACTACGTTTAAGTATGATATTAACATTAGTATAATTGTCATTTCATTGATAAAATATGAAAAAACACAGGAAAAAAGTCGTTTGAAATTTCATTGTAATGTCGAGGACGAGAAATAAATTTCCAATAGATAAAATCTGTTCGAGTTCCATTAACAGTTCGGTTATTGTTGTTCTAGTACAGTAGACCCCCTATAACATGGGTTCATATAATACGGATTCGTATAACACGGCGAAAAAATTGCGATCGTATTCGTATAAACACGCTAAAAGAGACTCGTATAATACGGTAAAACGTCATCGCCGACTCGTATCGCGACAGGATTGGTCGAATCTAGACCAACAACGGATATTATAATAAGTTTATGCGAACTACTCACCTGAATTGGGCAGGACTATGCGGATTATATTCAATTAAATTACGAAGATATTCTGTTCGTTGATTCATACACCATAGCTGAAGTTATATATTATAATTTTTTTTATTAAAATAACAATAATAGTAATAAATTAATTAATATTATGCTACTTACATAAGAGAATCCTACGAAAAATAATTGATTCGGAGTTAATCCTAATGTAGGTAACATTTTGTTGTTGTCCATTCCATATTTAGTCAAATATAACTGATATGCCTAAAGAAAAAAAATTTAATTTCGGCAATTATAAATAAGTAAAATTAACAGTAAGAGGTTAATTAGTTTATACAGCACAATGATAAAAGTCTCTCCCCATCCGAACATATGTGACGCTCAAGAAAGATTCAGAGGAGACAAAACCACGTGGTCCTTTTTTTACTCAATTACTTGTTATACCATAAATAAACATCTAAACACCCTTTTTTTGGGCTGCAATTTGAAAAAACTGTAGACCTATAAATTCCCACTGTCATTTGTCCGTCTGTCTTTCCTTAATCTCAAGAACGGTGTTAGATAGATGAAATACGAGACCAGATATAGAAAGCGTAGGGACAGGAGGATCCTATTAACTATATAATAACTTCCGATGTAAATCGGAAGTCACGTTATTTCAATCTCTATTGTTAAAAGTATGATTATAGGGGCAAGCCACTACTAATTTGAAGTGGAGAGCATTTACTTTAAATTATATAAATTAAAAATTGTAGCCCGGCATTGTAATGATGTCACAATAAATAATTGCTCGTTTAGATTACCACTCTCTCAAAGGTCATTTTTACCTCATTTCAAAAAATGTAGATATAATAATTCTGAAGATACAAGGTAAAAAGGCATATTATACAATTGTTAATTCATTTCTTTATAATTTTATACTTTTTACTTAATAGGGATAGGAAATCTATTGTCACAAAACTTTTCCTATTGTAAATGAAAATAAATAAATAAATTCCTATTGTAATCTTGCAGGAATTTCAACTTAAAAAAATTTATATAAAGATTAAAACTGTATGAAATTCTACGCAAACTAATGAAATATAATTATGTGCTCTTACACTTGATATAAATTCAATGAAATTTATCTTAAAAAGTAGCTTTACCTTATAAGATGCTCGAAGTCCTCCGTTGTCTGCAATGTTCTCTCCCAAAGTATTTTTTCCGTTCAACTGAAATCGAAATAAGATTCCATTATAAATGAAAAAATATGGAATAAATTTTTTCAGAAATCATTAATACTTATAAAATGTATCAAATTGCATGATTATAATGTTCCAAATCAATAGGGGTTTCAAGCTGTGCCACCCCTAGACAAGCCGTGATCCTTCTTATATAAGTTTACATAATATAAAATCTACATTAAAATCTCATGTGGAGTGGATACGCTTTAGGAAAATAATTACCACAAAATTTGCATATTTTAATCATTGATGGCAGAGACTGATCCGTCAATAACATGTTTGTTATACTTTTGATTGCCTTTTGCATACTATGGGATAATAATAAGCCTCTATTTTGCCCATTTTAAACTTAGTAGAGTCAATTAATATGGGTGAAAAATTGAACAGACTGTAATAAATAATGAACGTCTAGACTATATATAAATGACACCAACGACATTTAATCAATAAATTTTAATTTTTTTTAATTAAAAAATTTTATGCTACTTTTAATGCAAATTATGAAGAATAAGATGCATTCCTGATACCTCAGTACCTGCCGAACGTCTCTTTTCGAAAAAAAAAGAAATTCATCATGAAAAAGAGAAATAGCCTGGATCAAGGCCGTAATGAAAAATTCCAGGGGTCCCGAAGAATTTTTGGAGGGCCCCTTTTTACTTTTTGCAGATCCAGGAGCAAATTTCAAGACGATTTNAGCACATGGACCTTAGTCAATCAAGTCCTCTTCTTTACTTTCTATCGATAGATTTACCTCTCGATAGTCTCGGAAGGAAAAGTTCTCCTGGAGAACTTTGGGAATTATTGTCTAATATATAAATAAAGGAAACTGGTCCATATTTAGATGTTAGACACGTGAAGAAAACTGAAAAACTTCACGTGGCCAGCCCTTTGGTGAGGCGTGAACACGCTACCAACGTTCAGTGGTGTTATCCAGTGATGAGCCATTGGTTAAAGATTTTTGTATCAAAATATTATAAAGTATTTTGTATTTATAGTTATATATTTCACTATACTTTTTCATGTTAAGAGAGAGAAAGAGAGAGAAAAGAGAAGATGAAGAGACGGCAGTATAAATATACTGCCGTCTCTTCATCTTCATCTTCCAACTACTTAAACACGATATCAGTTTATACAATTACCTGACTCATAATATACAATAACAATAATAATTTTATACAATAAAATTTTAACCTTCATATTAGTATGAGGATCTTCGTAACTGCTATACTGATTCACAAAGCATTCTGTTTTGTTGCTGAATGTCTGTTCGATTTTCGAAGGCCACCAGTGACGTAAATTTCCGAATTGGTCGTATTTACTACCTGAAAATACATTCGTGACATTAATTATTAGTGAAATAAAAACTGATTTCAATTAACAGATCTTACCCTCATCGTCAAATCCGTGAGTAATTTCGTGACCGATAACTGTGCCTATTGCTCCATAATTAATGGCACTAAAACAGGAAAAAAAGTATCAATTTTCGATAAATAAATAACTCAAAAATTTGTAAAATGCGTATGTTATAATTACGTTGGAATGCCAAATTTGAAAAATGGAAACTGTAAAATTCCAGCAGGAAATGCTAAAAATTATCGAAGTATAAAAATTAATTTACCATTAATTTTACTAAATTCAAGATTTTAAATTAATTTTTACGTGAAGGTTTTAAGTATCACTCACCAATGGTATTGCTATCAGGGCTATAATATGCATTTACTGTTGTAGGTGATTCAAACCAACTGAAAATAAATTATAATAGGTTTTACTCCCTTTAAAATAATCAAAAGAGTTAAATATTTAGTTAAAATGTTGGCATTTTTCATTCTAAAAAGTTTCTGAAAACTCGTTATTCAAATTTTCACTTATTAATTGTTACCCTGAATTTCTTGGATAATCAAGGCTTTGTTGTATATACTCTTATACATCTTCAATATGAATATGTAATGCTTTATAATCATCGAATATTCTTTCATAACGTCAACACAAAGAAAAACAATTAAGACATTTTTGCGAAAACATTGAAAATATTAAAAACATATTGAAAAAAAATTAAAATAAATCCATTTCTATTAAATTGCATTGCACGTGGACCCCTTTTGCTTCCATTTGCCAAAATAATGAACTATTAGATTTTGGCGTATTGCCAGAATATCACCTTTGATAAGACCTGAAAACATTAAATTTTTGGTAACTGACATATGCTATTTTCCGAGAAACTGTATTCCCACCATTCTTTTGCATGAAAAAGTTTGCATGTATCCGAGTCCTCGTAGCCACTCTTATTGCCTTCCTCTTCAAAGTTCACGTATTGTTTCTAACCTGCAACACTTGACAGACTTTCAGAAAACTTCTTATTCTTTGCCTTCTGTAGGAAAGCTGAAATCTTCTGGCAGTCTACAAGTTTCTTGTCTTGTATAGATATCGGATCTTTGAAGGTTTGTGGTAATGTCAAATCATTGATCCAGTTCCTGGTGCTTCTAATTAGAATATTTTTGTATGGCCCAGAATGTGTCACAAATTTGAAAAACCTCTTAATCTTCACTGACTTTTATAATACTTGTTGATCTGAGATTCAACGTTTGCTTAATAAACGAGTGACGTTTACATATTTGCAATCAGGTGCCACGATACGCTTTCCCATTTTCTTTTTTGTATGGTTTGTGCAGCTAATTACACAAACTTCGGCCTCTCAAATAACGACTTCTTTTCTCTTCATTATTGGCTACAAACACCCACCAATATCGGATAAATTCAAATAATATTGAGATTACTGCGATCCAGAGTATCTTTCGATGTAGTTGTCCATCTTGTAAGTCAACTTTGATGTCCCTGACAATTAGTGTTTTTTGTAAATAAATTTAAAATTTCTGTGAATAATTTTCAAACTGAACTTAAAATTCGTAATACATAATGACGTAAATAAGTATATTTAATATAAAAGTGCCAGAGGTCATATGATGCATTCTTAGCTGAACCCACGATGGGCTTACTTAAAATGTCTTCTTAGTGCCCACAGGATGGAAAGAGTAGAGTAAAAATTAATTATAATGAAGCATTTCTTAATTATTTTAAAGATTGAAACATTACATATGCAAGAATTCTCTTTTAAATAATTCAATGTTGAAATAGAAAAGGTAATTCAAACATTTTATTTTACAGAGGGATGCACCATATGACCTTTGGCACTTTTATAACCTCAAAGATTTATTTCTAGCAATTATTATTTTGTAAATTTTCTAAATATACTTATTTACGTCATTATGTATTCATCAATTATCACAAATTTTAAAATTATTTACAGAAATTTTAAATTTTATTTTTTACAAGAAACTATTTAAGTTGATAAAAGTAATTAAATCATTTATTTTTTTTTAATTTTCATATACCATAAAATTTCTAATGCAAATTCCAATTTAAAATATCCTGAAATTACTGTAAAGACCAGAGGATTTTTCCCTAAAAGACATACAACGGTTAAATGGGTTTGTAAATTGTGCAGCGAATTAAACTCAATCATTATTTTTTTATTACCAAATTCGCAAATTCATAATAATTAATAACATAAAAACTTACCTATCCTTTTCTCTATGACGTGGCTCATTAATCTTAATTAGTTCTTTATACATGACAAATTTATCGATGTTTAAAATGCTTTGAAAAAATTCTTCTTCTTTGATTTCTCCTAACTATTTTTAACATTTATGTAATTATTGTAAAAAATATTATTATGTTCCAAATTGTTTTTTATTGTCATGTTACCTTTTCGTAGTATTCATTTAATTCTGTTTCATTCATTATCCAAGGTGGATAAGCTATCAAAGGTATCATTTCGTGCAACTAAAGACAAGATACATAGAAAAATAGCAAATTATAATATATTTAAATGTAGTTCGAATGTTATATATATGAAAATCTATTAAATTTTATGTTAATTTTTTAACCTTTTTTTTAGCTTTTCGCTTTGTTTCAACATCCATCCAGTCAGAAAGAGTGAGGAAAGAACTAAAGGCTTCTTGTATATCTTCAATCATTCTTTCGATCTAATTGAAATAGCGAAAATAATAATTTCTATATTAAATTTTCATTATATTGGGTGCATTAAAGCACTTTATAGAATGAACAATTTTGTTGATTCTTGTTATTATTTACGTGTACAAAGTAGTTTAAAACTATGGAGATAAACTTTGAAAATAGATTCCTGGTAGGACAAAGAACAAAACTGGCCCTTTTAGGCGTAGCAGCTGTACGCAAGGGATATAACATTGTACAATAGTATAATTATATACCTCTGTCACAGTAGATGCTCAATAAAAGTGCTGACATGTTGCATTATGGACTGATGCATACTTTTTAACAATACTTTTTCTTTAATTCTAGATACTTTTAATCTCAAATAACTTGTAACGTTTACTAAAGTTGATACTTAAAAAAGTAATAGTTAAATTAATAATGACTCACCTCAATTTTAGTGTCTTCATTAAACGTACGGTTTATAAAGATATTACCCAGAGCATAACTCAATTCAAAATCGACAGCCTTTATACAAACATTTTCTATAGAATCCATTTTTTCTAAACCTTTCTTGACTTTCAAGAATTCAAATTTCTTTTCTCGAAAGATTTTCGTGGTAAAAGAACTGTATTTATTTATGGTTCGCCATCCTATGTAATTAGCTATTATTCTAGAAAAATATATGTAAAATGTTAGAATAATAAAAGATTTTTTAGGAACTACAATAACTATTTATAAATAGTTAATATATATTATATTATTCGGACATCTTGTCCGAAATCGAATGTCTTAATAGAATGAGTGCATGCTTTGCTGTTATGCATTCTTCTTAGAAGACTTTCCATGTGACTAGATGATGGTATGTTTCAGATGAAACTGTTTACATTCCTCCCTGTGAGCATTAATAAAATCATCCATTGAAACTGAATGAATTAATCTGAGTATCAATGGGTACTCCAATTCATTTCAAAAATGATCAATGGGAGCAGATCAAGGCCCTATGGAAGACAATCAAGTTTCTCCACATTTATCTCATTAAATGATTCCTTTATAGACCTTATTTTATGAGAGGAATAGTATTATTATTATGCTTCAAGTTGTTTCCAAAAAGTAAGAAGCATAGAATTATCCAGAAGATCAGTATAAAATCAGAATTAAGAGTCTGTTTCATTGAATCTTGAGTTGGTTCCTAGAATATCTTTGAACACGATATATATATATTTTAATATACAGGTTGGCTCAAAAGCCAATTATCCGAAATATAAAATATTTTGTTAATCAAGTGAACTGATTTTGGGCCTCCTGTTTATCTACACAGTTGTGTAAAAAATAGAATAGAAATATGCTGAAAGTTTTCTTTAATTGTGTTCACTTAACATTTTTCTTTATTATTATAAATATTTTCTTAATAATTAATAGTTTTCTGATACCTTTTTTCTACAGTTTGAAGGAATTTCGATATATTTTTCAGAGATTCTGGTTCCACAACAATAATTTCCGTGTCTTCAGTTATGTTTGCTATATCTTGGAACACTTCACTCAAAATCGTCAATAAGTTCATCTATAACATTCCGTAAATTAATTTATATAATTATATTCTATATTATTCTCTTTTAATTATTTAAAATAAACAAAAAATACAATAAAAAATTCAAATTATATGAACGTGTTTAGATTATTTTTACAAAGAATCAAGTAATTTTTATGGGTTCTAAGTGCGACATAAATTATGTAAAATTTATGATAAAAATTGAATCTTGTATTATAAATTATAGCATTTTTTAATAGAACAATTTTTTTTAAAAATTGATAAGAAAACAGCAAGAACTTAGAAACATAGATACATTTTACATTACACTACATACTTTTCCTTCTGTGTAATTTTCAAACTCGGATATCTTCATTTTATGATAAAGACTTTCAGGAATTCTTCGATCTTCTTCGGGTCTAGTAAACTAAAATTATTTTAAAATAAAAAGAATACTAAACATTTTATTATTTATTTACTGCAATGACTTACTGTAGCTAATTTCATTTCGAAATCGACGATTTCATCAATTTCTCGGTGAAGAGTTGAATTTTCTTTGGTGGTACTCAATAAATTTGCTGTTTCTTCAATTAATTTTTTATACGCAGAAATTTCTCGTAAGGATTGCTCGTCGGAAGCATTCAATAATTCTTTTCTTCCAAGACCCAAAGAGGCATAGTCAAGCTATTAAAATATAATTTTATCTAAAGTAGACTACATAATAATAATTACTTTAACAGTAATTACAGTATTATGTAATACTATAATCAAATTGCTCTTATATGAAGCATTTTTTATAGGAAAGCATACGTTAATGTATTTGTTTAACTTTCCCATTTGTACAAGAAATAATTAATTGTATAGATGAGTTGAAAGTTTCCATGCAAAACATAAGTATACTTCAGTTTATCTGTGTTTCGGATCTGTACAAAACACGAAGATTGATAGAGTACAGTAGAACCCCCCTATAACACGATAGATAATTCCGTGTTATATGAATTCCATGTTGTTCGAGTCACTAAGATTTTAAAAATACGTGAGCCGTTCACAGCCCGGCACACGTATTTGTAAAATCTAAGTGACTCGTACAACATGAAATTCATATAACACAGAATTATCTACCGTGTTATAGGGGTGATCTACTGTATTTGAATGTTACATATACAAAACACACGGTTACGTGAAGAGCACATGAAAAACATACGTATGTGTGTTTTAAATGCACAGGATGTTTACAGTGCGTGCGATACATAACATCAGACGTGTTGATCGTGTATCCATATGGCATTCGGTTAAATGATATTCACATATTTATTTTGCAGTTATTTCTAAGTCACAAAAGTGATTTAAAAATTCTTTGCCTATGTATAGAGATTTTTAAATCACCTCGTACATTATTCGTGTTTAAATAACATAAAACATTTGAAATAAAAGCATTATCGTAAAAATATATCTAACAAACAAAAATTATTGTGACATCGTCACCATGCCGTGCTGCAATTTTTAATTTATTTCATTTAAAATATATGCTCTCCACCTCAAATTAGTACTGTAAGTGTCTTGCTTCTGTACATCATACTTTTCCTGACAACAACAGAGTCATGCCGGTCATCTATATAACAGTTTTGGAGAAAATTTTTGAATTGCAATCATGTAACTTCCGAGTTCAAACCGAAAGTTTGTAAATAATTAATCGGGCCTCCCGTCAATAAAATTTCCATATCTGGTCTCGATTTTCGTCTATCTAACGTCGTTCTCGATATTAAGAAAGGACAGACAATGAGAATTTATAGAGCTAAAAGTTTTTTCAAATTGCAGCCTCAAAACGTTGTTAAATTCAAATTCACTTATAACTTACATGTATAATGTTTCTTGCGGTGTTTTTTGAATCAGCAGACACCTCAATTGAAATAAGAACGCTGTATCCAAGTTCTCGAATAGACCATGCTAAGCTTTTCGTCCAGTCATAATTATGGTCAAATGGACCTCCGAGAAGAGGCCAACTTCCTAATTGGTTTGCTAAAACTTTTAATGGTTTCACTCCGATTTCATCTCTCTTTCCTAAATCATTTAATTGAATATGAAAAAAAAAATTGACAAATTTTAATAACATCGTATATAGTATTATCATAACGAAAAAACAAACCTTGATTTATGCATCCTGTATAGAGATCCCTCACTTTAATGTCCATTGCATTTTCGGAAGTAGTCATTTCTTGTAATATTTCTGAAAAATTTTGAGTAATTAAAACATAAAAATTTATCAATTTTCAGCAAAAATCAATTCTTACTCTTTAATTGATCATTTACACGATGTTCTACCACATCAAAGGAGTTCCACGACGATTCGGTAGCTGGAAGTGGATTGGATTTGATCCATCCCGAACAAACGTAAGAGTAGAAGTCATCGCAAGGATCGATGGAACGGTTAATAGAAGACATAAGTTCTTCTTCTAAAATATAAATTCAATCACTTACTATAATTTCAATAATTTATGCACATGAAAATTATAGAAAAAGAAAATTAATGTTCTAAGCATAATAGTACGAATCCGGTTTTGTCCTGTTTAATTTTTCATCAATTAACTGTCACTCGAATGATGAAATGGAGGAAATTTGCGTTTCATAATAGATTCCTTCACGCAATGCTCTCTCTTTATACTTATAACAATTCCCTTAGCATATAAGTCCTGAGTACATGCAAAGAGAATTGTTATAAGTGGAAAGAGCATTACTTTTTACGTATTTTTTCTCCATTGTTCATCCATATTGACGTAGATTAAGAAGTATATTCTATCTCTTTCTTTCCAGTTTCATATTAAGATAACCATAATGATTTGCTTAAATCTTCAATAAGTTAATCGGGAGATGAGGAAAAGAGCCCAACTTTTCACAATTTCTAAAGATACGATTCAAATTTGAACTTGAATTCTTCTTAGTGACCTTTGCAGTCTCAACCATTCATCCAAATTGGTCTAATGCAGATAAAGAAGGGCCATTCTATTATTAGGGGAGATCGGGGCAACTTCGGCATGCGGGGCAAGTTTGTCAAGCGCTTTTTTTAAAAAACAAATTAAAAGGAGACTTTGGTTATAGGTTAGGCAGTTGAGTTTTATTGGTGGCTTGTTGAGTGTAGTGTTTTTATTGTTCTCCAACAAGCGTAGTTGAATTATCAAGCAAATTTTCATTTTCGTTCAATTCCATATAATATTTTTTTTCCATTTATATTGAATTGGCAGGTTTTGTTATAATTCCATGATAACGAAAGTTACTTTTCCTGTTAGAAGGATGTAACTTCAACTTATTCACGTGGCCAGATCGTGGCTTGGCATTCTGTTCTCAGGGTTGTACTTAATGTTTCGAAATCATGACTAGCGGGGTAAGATCGGCAACATAAAGCCACATTAGAAGCAAAGGATAAAAATCAAACAGATGATAAATGAAAACATGTTTGCATTTGTTATTCATGTATATATGTCTTTGAACTTGCATTTCGTTGTAATAATATTAAATGGGTGTTGGATTTGTATTTCTTTGTTTTAATAGTGAATTCCAACTTATACATTGTTAATAACATAATTTTATATACGTGCCTATCTTGCCCCATTACTGTTGCCCCTATACCAGGGGCAACTTTAATAAAAATAATTAAAATAATTACAACTTTACAAAAAGAGAGAAGTTGCCGATCTTGCCCCTATACCCGGGGCAACTTCGTCAATTTCTCTCTTCTTGTAAAGTTGTAATTATTTTAATTATTTTTATTTCCAAACTGATTTTAACCAGTTCTATAGTAAGGTAACATTCCAATAGACAATATGCAAAGCTTTTTTTTCAGTTTACAGCAGTATTTATTACACAAAATTTAAGTAAAGCTTAACATGCCGATCTTACCCCGATCTCCCCTATAGGCTAAACTGGCCTTTGTTTAACATAAACTAAAGTGTGTCGTATAGTTCATATAAGACACTTCAGTAACTTACAAAACATGGTGACACTTCAGCAATTAAGTAATTACCACCAATATTTTCTATCACCACACAGAAATTTTGATTTTACAGTATTAGGGTGTACTGTACATAACAATATGAATAGTAAACAATTTAAAATAAAAAGAAAATATTAATAAATTACGCACCGATATCCCGACAAACTTTACTATCACATACTTCGTATTTTTTCTTATCAAGATTAGCTGAAATGGTGTAAAAACAATTAATTTTTTTTAAACACATTTTATAATATTTAATTATAATTTCTAATAAGCACTTACATGAATTGTTACGTACGACGACTATTGCTATAATTAGACAAAGAGACAGAACAACAGCGAATAAACAAATGATAATCAAGGACTTTTCTAATTTTGTTTTTCTACTCCAACACGATTCGCTGAAAATTAATTTTTAACAAGAATTCATTTATATTGTTAGAGGTTAAAGGTAAATTTCTTTAATACACTATTAAAATTAATCTATGATTATTTTATTTAATAAAAGACACTTTCAATAATGTGTTTATCATGAGTATGAGAAAGTAAGTTTATACTTATATACAAAGTGACCCAAAAGTGTGACCTTTGTCTCTCTTTTAACACGTGAAAGGAACGGTTTTGTGCTATCGATTCATTGAAAATGTTAAATTTTATAAACATTATTTATTGTACACTGTTACAGGATTGGATTGATAAGATAAAATAACGCAACACAAAATGGCTGATCTGTTAAGAGGGAGTGCCTCCAGGGAGGACTTTGTATAGAAAACTGGCTCCTATTTAAAAACATGAAGAAAACACGGAAAACTAAACGTAGCCAGCCCGATGGTCAAGCGCAAACCAACGATTAGTTAACGGTTTTCAATGGTTTAATCCACTCGGCCACTGTTTCCACCACTGTAATCCACCACCCCAGACCAATCAACTTTGAGGCAGGTCGGCTTAGAAATTTTCTTTATTGGATCATAATTAATAATAGATTCCGATTACTGCGATAAGACCAGATACCGCCAAACAAATACTAATGCGTGTTGGAGGTTCTAAAAGTCTAAGTTGTTTATGTTTAACATTAATCTATAAACCTAATGACATTGTTGACTTGTTTTTATGACATTATAAAATTTAAATGGTGCGCAATTGAACTGCAACACTGTTGAAATCAGCAAAATCATAGTTCAATCAGGTACCACTCAATAAATCTAGAGTACATTATAAAATTAAACTGTACATTCCAGTAATTTTAAAGTAGAAACAATCTTTAAACAAATTCACATTCGATGCACGCTACATTCTACGAAAATATTGTCATTAGAAATGATGACTTAAAATAAAATGTACAATATCATCTTTCGGATTATAAATAGATAAAATGTTATTGTGTTTATTCAATTGTGAAAAACATATAATATATGAAAAATGTCTTTTATTATTGATAATGATTGTAACGATAATTATAAATACAAATTTGTTAGAAGTGAATTATTTACAATATTGGAAGAAATATGTAATGTAAAAATTGCTAGAAAACAGGAAAAACATTTTTTTCGATTACATATTTAATGGTTAAACACCTTCAAGAATAATATGTAGAATATTATAACTTCGTTTTGTGAGTGATTTATTAATAAAATTAAAATTGCGACGTAAAACTATACAAAATTTAGAATAATTACTAATATTTACATCAACAATAGTCTGTTTTATATATGTAATGTAATACATAACTCTAGAGCTATTGCAATTCTAAGCAAAGAAATGTATTGAATGCAATTAGAAACATAATTTTTTAATTTGCTTGTAATAAATAATTTATGAAAGAAAAAAATTTAACTCGGACAATCTAGATAACTGGAACAAGATTGCAAGAGATTTTATTACTTAAAAAGCTTGAATTTTACCAAGAAACTGGAAGAATCATAGGAAAGAAACGCTTCTAAATGTTTAAATAAAATTATTATTTCTAAGTTTTAAGTGAAAATTTAATTATATTATGAACGAAAACTGTTATATTCAGACTAAACAACTCAGAACTATAAGCCAGATAATTCTAGACCAATTTCTCAAGAAGTTATATTCATTAAATCCTAAATTTTTCACCCAGTAATGGCCGAGTGGATAAAACCCATTGAACACTGGAAATTAGTCCCGTTTCCCGCTTCGCCAATGAACTGACCATGTGAAATTTTCCGGCTTTTTTCACGTTATTAATACCTAAATAGGGGCCAGTTTCTTATTAAAGACTGACCCCTATTTAGATCCAGTTTTTAATTAAAGATCTCAAGAAAGATCCAAATTAAAGACCCAGATTTTCATTAAAGACATCCCCATCCTCAGATCGTCCGTGTGTCCAGTTGCCATATACAAATAATACCAATAAAAACCTGAATTTTGTTTATAAAACTGAAAAAAAATCACACAAAATAAATAGTTCTAAATTAAAATTTAAATTTAAATGCGTTCAAAAATCATATACGCGATAAGTTCAAGATACCTACCAACAATTAAAAGGAAGCATCTTAAATACTTTTCGTTCTTCCTCCTCCTCCTCTTCTAACAAAATATTTGACTATTCCTTTGTAATTTTAGCTTATTTTTTAACTTTTCATAAACATCGTCATCGTTTTACTGGCAGATATCCAATATTTTACATACCGTTACTCGATTACTAAGCTCGTTACTAACGTTACAGTTGCAGAAATCTTTAACTTTTAACTTCAACCAGTGATAATTTATGAGTTTCTTTAGGGCTTGTATTTAGTTATATAAGTATATGAATGAATGGTATGTATCATTAATAAAATATGAAAATAAGTCTTAGTTTTTCTACTCAAGAATTAAATTATTAATAGAAAAATTCAATTATTAATCTTAGAACCGAAATAAAATGATGTATAATAATTATACAACAAGAAAATTTGACACAAACATTAATTGTAGGTTTATAGGCCTTATTAACATACCAATATGTCTACTGATGATTTAACATTTTCTTACCTGATATTTACCGGTGATCGTTATTAAATGCCTATATTAATCACTCTTTAAAGAAATATTTAGCAGGCCAAATGTAATCAAATTTAGTATAATAACACTTCAGAACACAAGAAAGACATTTCCAAGAAAAAGAAAAGAAAAAGAAAAGATACTAAAACGTGCCACTGCGGTACTTTTGGCGCTACAAGCAATGGAAAAACAGTTTTATTTGTGGAAACAATTAAAATCGTAATACTTGGCTTGTTCTAGTTTTTGTACACAGTAAATTAAGAGCAAACGTTGCGAAAAAATAATGTACAAATACATGCATATTTTACTTATTTTAATTTCTCATTTGAAGGCTTACATTTTAAATGATTATACTTAAAACAAATAAATGTATTGATTGCATTAGTATAATATATATTAATGGCGAAATCAATTACAATAGGTCGTAAAAGTGGTGTTCACACTACTTAATATAACTTAAAAATAACGAATATACTTACTCGTTTTCCGATACAAGATAACTTTGGCTACGATTATTCATGTTTATGCTGCTGTACGACATCCGATCGGGTGTGATAAACTAAAGATATTTAAGTAAAGTAACTGTATAATTGCATAATCTATAAAAGTCAAAGTATGACAATAAAAAAATTTAATTATCATTATAATTGTATTAAAAAAAATTGCTTGTAAAGTCTATAAAATTGATAAAATAATCATTTTTCAGATCACTCTTCTTACAACCCCCGTTTTTAGGACTGGTATTCATTTTTATATCATAAACATAAACAATTCTTAAAACTCATTCTAATTCCTAATACAGGAATCAGAGTTGCTGATTTTCGGGGGTTCGTTACTTCGCCCCCGAAACGTCTAAAGTAATTCCGAATATCTCCTTATAAAGGTAATCGTTTTCTTAGGTGGTGTGCAAAATTTCAAGATTTTCTATAAAGCGGCTGCCGAAATATAAGCAATTGAAAAGTGAATTTTCTTCTCATTTTTTCTTCATTCCGCATTGCAGACGGTCGTAGAGAAAAAAACTATTGAGTCTATAAAGCTCAAATTTTAAACTTAAGCATTTCTCGTTATCAATGAGGTGCTCGCGAAACTTCCGAGCCGATAGGTCAAAGTTTACGATTGTTTCCCATAGAGGTATTTCAGTTTTACGACTTAATTTTATGCTAATAACGATAAAACTGCATGGAAACAAATTAATCTTATTCAAAATGTTACTCAGAATTAAAAGAGCTCAAATTGGCGACATGATTTATATTTGATGTGTTCTAACGTTTAACAACTTAGGAAGTGCAATATTACGTGTTCTATACAGGTAATCGACTTCATATTAACATCAGATTACCGAAAATTCTTAATGAAGGAGCTCAAAAGTATTTTAATCCAAACGTGTTCCAGTATTTTCATCCCATCTTGAACAATTAACATTTACATTTGTTTCAATTTCAAAGCACACTCTATCACTAGTAATGGATGATTACAGATCAAAATCCTGAGTATCAGTCATCATAGAGTACGAAGCAAAAAGCTAGAGAGCAACTCCAAACCTTCGCAGGTGAGCGTAATATATAGTTTAGGATGTTAAATTATCAATTAGTCTATAATTACGTTATCACAAAAGCATAGGCCTTTACCAAAGGCCTCGCTCTTTTAAAAGGCTTTAAACGTTGTTTGTTGACGTTCAATCTCGGCCCTTTATTTGTAATCCAATACTTGTTAAGATCTTAGACTGTAAAGTATTGATTATCGTATGATACGGATTTAACGTATATTATATAAAAGGGCCTTACGAATATCAAGACTCTAGTGACCTTTCTTGTACAATAAAAAAGGTCATTGAACAGAACAAAAACGAAAACCTGTACTCAAAAGGAAGACAGGAGGACAATACAATTTGATAGAGGAGAGTTGGCAGTCCTAGGCCTCAAGCAACCTGACACGCCAGTTTTTAAATATTTTGTATTAAATATTCTCAAATACGAGCGAATTTAACAAATATTTCTTACAAATTTTGAATTACACTTATTAGCTTACCTCATTTTTCATTTGAATAAACTTGTACTATATTACGTGTGACATTTTGAGATTTTTAAATTAAAAATCACTTTCTTTAATTAATAAAACAGTTTATTTACGTTTTTCTCATTTATTTACAATATTCTGAATTCCTGCTATCGATAAAATCAGGACATTTAAATGTCAGATCTGTCTATCATCCTTCCTTTCAATTTCCGCCATATTGCTATGGTGGCGGTGAAAGTTCTGTTTTTAATTGTTTTATTGATTTTATACATTTATTTATTTATTTAGACTAATTTAATGAAGGATTTGGGCCCTTATTTCATTTTTCTGAAGTCTACTCAAATCTCCCAGACCTTCATAGGATTTCTCAATCCTTCTTGAGGTCTGTCATGTCTTCTCAAGGCTTCTCAGGATTCCTCGCCCGTCTCGGACTCTCTCAGGCCTTCTAGGATGCTTCATGTCTCTTCATGACTCTCAAGCTTTCTCACGATCTCTCAGGCCTTCTTGGGATCTCTTACTCTTTTCAGGCTCTCACAGGCCTTTACAAATTTTTATTAATGTTAGAATCAGAGACTACAACTCTATAAATTTCAATTTTTGGATTACAATTTTTGCTCTCTCCTAGTAATTTTTGTCCTTGGGTCGAAATCCAGGAGAGTGCAAGTGCTCGTTTCCCTCCCTCTATGGACGTTCATAGTCAGCAGTCATAAAGTATATCATCCAAAACATGTTTGTTTCGATTTATACTTGTTTATTACATTGTCAGAACTCAGAATGCACAAGTAATGATACATATAGAAAGCTTTACTATGAAATCATACCTACTTAATTTTAATTACACAAACGTGCATAGTAAAAACAGTAATTCGGTAAACCTACTTTATATATAACGAACTTTAACATCCCCTCGCCTGAATTAGTCCGTTAAATGGAGGTTTTACTACACTTTAATTATCTATTTTTAAAGTGAAAATTCCTGTAAGGTATGACTTATGACATTATATATATTCAGAAGAGTTAAAAGTTATATGGTATTTTACAGAGGATACGATTCACATAACCCAAAAATCAGTCTTTGATCTTAAATCTCAGCTTATTTTCTTTAAATTTTTATATATTATATACGAAAATTTAAATTTTTTTACATAATTTTTCTATTTTTCTATGTTATTTTATTATGCCACATCATCATTCTTACTCNTAAAATAAATAAAATCTTTTAGAAAAGAAGCCAGAGGAAGAAATTAATAATAAGCAGCATATTGTATATATAAGCATTTGCGAAAGCGTTGAGTTTATTTTAAATATACGTAAAAACCCTTAAAAATAAAGCAAATTTAATAATTCTCTATGATATGGAAGCGATAATAAAATATGAGATGTTTAAAATATTCGCTACACTCTCCCCTTTCAGCCATATTAAGTCATGCGTATTTTATAATACCTTCTCTCATTTTCCTCTCAAATATAAAAAAATAAACGTATAAATTTACATTAAATATGTCAATTTATTAGGGAAAAAAAAGACAATTTCATTATAAACTCAACATAAAAATAAAGAGTGCGAACAAGAAACAAAGCATTATTTTCTATTCAATAAAGTGTAAAGGAATAGAACTAAATCTACATTTTCGTAAATTTTTTTTAAATAAAAAAATATCTTAAATGTATAAAAGATATGAAAACATCAATAAAATTTATATATAACTAATATAGCGATATTAAAAACTATAATGCAGTGATGAGAGAATAAAGTGTGTGGAAAGTAAATTTCGTCTTTCGATAGAGTCTATATAGATGATCGGTTTTAATGTTAGAAAAATATATATTAAAAAGCGAATTAATTGCAAATAAATATACAAAAAAACATGTAGAAGACACCTACTTACCAACTAAACAATTCTGGAAATGACACCTCTACACCAGGTGTTTAGTTTTAATACAAATATATCTACACCTGTTACACAAACACTTCGGAATTCTAGACCTCATTTCTAACATTTAATTTTATTAATAAAATATTTTATTACTTTTATTATTATTTTTTTAACTTTTAGGTATATTTCATTTCCTTTTATTATTATTATTATTATTTTTTTTTTTATCTNTGAGTGGCCAAAAGTCAGTTAACTTCGTTTCGTTTGTCCCAGATACATTCGTAAATTGTTATTTATCTGTTAATATTTCATTCTGAACAATATGTAAGCAGTAAAGTATTTGAATACGATATTAATTTAGTTTTTACAATTGTTAACTGAATTTTGGGCCACACATATTTAATTAGTTTGTCACGGTAGGAATAATATTTGTTTTTTTCACTATATACCTGGGTGGAACATCCACGAAAAATACCCAGGGCTTTTCGATCCATCCGGTCGATCTCGGATCCCCAGAGCGATAGGCTACCACAGTGGCGGATTGAGTAGTTGAGAGGCCCCAGGCGCAATTCAATTTTGAGGCCTCCCTCTAGATATTTTCATTATCTTTACATCCTACATTGTGCTTTCTACGCGCACGTTTTTTACTCTGATAGGCAGTAAAGGATTATGTTCTTTTGAGGCCCTAGGCGCAATTTTGTTAACAAATAAAATCCTTAAATAATAACAAGTTTTTCTTTATAATAAACGTTTTAAACGTTTACAAAAGTCTTAGAGGCATATTATCTTTTTGCTATGTAGTTTTTGTGGTCCCTTGTGAAAACGAGACCCAAGGCGCGCGCCAGAGGAATGACTTTTCCTCTAGTTGCATTTATTTAAAAGCGAAAAGGAAAAGTCTGATGAATCTTACAACGAAATAAAGTTAAAGAAAAATAAAACGAAACTACTCTATTAATATTCCTTTTTTTAATTTATGACCTGCCAGTGTTTTTTTGCAGCTTCTCAGACCATTTCCTTTAGCTTCGACAGATTGCTGGCGTTCTCCATCGTTGCCATTTTATTGTTGTCGTTACGCGAAAGCCAAGTTGCCGAGCTATTGCAAAGCCATGTGCTAATTCAAGGGAGGAGAGAAAAATATGATAGAAAATTCAGCCTCGAGGACGAAGAAAACTGATGCGCTTAATATCTCATGCAGTAAATATCAGGAAATCTAACTGTAAACATTATCCAAATATTCAAATCAATGTTAGTTTACAATATATACGTATACAAAACAAATTTGTGTGTCATTCATTCATAAACTTTTGCAAACCCAACACCCAACTAACTGGTTCAATAAAATGCCAACCAAATAGGCATTAAATTAACCTCTTCAGAATATCTCATTAATATTGTCGTTTAAGTTATAAGATTCTAGCGAATAACTATTCTCTATAATCAACAGAATGCAACTGAGAATGAGCAATTATTTAGTGTGACATGGTCACAATGCCTGGCAGCAATTTTTAATCATATTTATTTAATTTAAAAATATATGCTCTCAACCTCAAATTGTACTGTACTGTAGTGTCTTGCCCCTGTACATCATACTTTACCGTTATCAATGGTGTCGTGCCGGTCATCTAACTCCTTTCAAGGGAAAATTCTTGAATTGAAATAATGTAACTTTCGGTTTGCAACAGAAGTTCTTTATATAGTTAATTGGGACTTCCGTTCTTAATTAATCTTTCCTTGAATTTCATTTATTTAATACCGTTCTCGAGATTAAGAAAAGACACAGACAGACAGACAGAAGACAGTGGGATTTTATAGGTCTAGATTTTTTTTAAATTGTAACCTAACTAGAAAAACATTGCATTTGTTTGTCTGACTTCTTGAAAAATATTAGTGCCAGTGAAACCTGACGTGGTACAAAATAAAAACAAGAGTGCCAATTGACGTATTTACATTTATAACTTATCAAAGAAGCCAATTAAGTAAATTATTTACTTGTATATTGTAATGAATAAGAATTTCGATAGGTGATCCGAAAATGTCGCCCTTTTGAAAGTGCCGCCTGAGACGACCGCCGGCCCTGAAAATATGTACATAATTCAGTCTTTTACATTGAAAATTTTTACAAAATCGCCTATATTTAAGATGCAAAACTTCATAATGAAAGCAATTTCAGCATTAAACTCCCAATGTTTGGAATTATATATATGCTCGTATCTCAAGTGTAATTTACCAATATTCTCATATCGTCAACGGTCCTAAATTTATGATTAATAAATATCTATTGCTATCCATTGTTTATTGTCCGGAGGACTTCCATAACCGGATGACTCAAGTAAATGAATCTTGCGTAAAATTAATTAGTTACGTCTGCCATAGACTTAAACATTTTTCAGTTTTACTGTGCCCGAACATTCTAAAATTTGAAAAAAGCTAAGAAAAAAATTTACTCCTAGAACCATGTCGATTATTTTTACCCGTTGAACATTTAAAAATCCCTAAGTTAAAGGATAAATCCCTAACGTTGCAACGATTCATGTACATTAGCGGTATGACTTAATGTAATTTATTTCCATAATCATTTCTCGCTAAAAATATTTACAATAACGAATTTTATTAATTATTTCTAATGTATTAAGATTATTTTAAAATACAAAACAACTTATTTAACTTTAATTAATTAATATTTTATTTTGATAATTAAATTTTAAAAACTCGCCACCTATTATCGAATTTCGTAACTATTCAATTTGTTCGTCTGGCAATTGACGTTTAGAATTCGGCGATTTTTAAATATTGTTTTATAATCTCCGAAAAGAGTAAGAAAAGAAATATATTTTATTTCAATGAAGAGTTTAAATAGAAGGTTTTCAAGCGAATATTTCAGGTCGTATATTTGAATATTTTTAAATAAATACGTTTATACGTATGAATGAAGTCTAGAAGGAGATTAGGCCTAACTTTCATATTCGAATGTAGGAAGTTAGGCTTAACTCCTTCGGAATTTTTTATAAATATATAATCCACTGCAAAAATATTTTAATAATAAACACAATTAAATAAGCTTGTAGTATAGAATGAACAGGTGATGATGTTTTGAAATCCAGTAAAGCAATACATAAACAGAAAATTGGATAGTTCGAAATCACGTTAGTTCGTCATTGTATCTTTGTCCCGGTCGGGGATATGGAGATTTACATGTTAATTTCTTCGTTTAGATCAGTGATTCCCAAACTTTTTCGATCCAATGCCCCCCTTTGTTCCATAAAGTTATACCCAACGCCCCTAACTAATTTTCTTTTGTGTGAGAAAGGCTTGGAAATATTCTTAGACTTTATATGAACCGCACAGGCTTACACTTTGTGTCCTTAACGCGCATTGTTCTCAACATCTGGAAACCATTAAACGTAATGTTTCTTTTTACCCGTTTAAAAGAGGAAAGGGAAAAGCTGTCAGTGACCCCAACCTTTCCCTATGGTTACCGTTCAGTACCCTGCCGCCCACTAGATTTACTTGCCGCCCACTTTGGGAACCGCTGATTTAGATCTACTGTAAGTGTCTTCATAATATAAGAGAACAATAGACTAATAATAACTCTAATCCGATCAATGGGGCTTTGCTTTTACAGAAACACATTTTCGGATGTCACCTTAGGGTGCGACTATGCAGACGCGAGCGAGCGAATTTTCCGAGCGAGCGAGAATATCTACCGAGAAGAGACGAGACGCGATAAATATCGAACCCTGTCAGATATGTGCGAGAACCAGAAATTCGCTCTGTCCAGTGATATTTCTCGCTTCTCGCTTGTGCATGGCTTTCCTTTGCGAGAACTATATCGCTCGCAATCTCTTGCTCGCTACTAATTCGCGTCTGCATAGTCGCACCCTTACCCATGGAATACTCGTTTTTCTTTTATTTCATAAAATATGGCTGGTTTTCGGGATTGCAAGATTGGGCTACATTTAGAGGCTCTCACAGGACAGCCCAACAGTGGCCAAGCGGTTCCGTTCCCTGAACACTGGAAGTTCGGTCGTGGGTTTGCGCCTCGTCAGGACTGGCTGATCACGTGGAGTTTTCCAAGTTTTCTTTACGTCTGTAACGCCTGAATAGGGCCCAGTTACCCTTAAAAAGGACCTCCTGGAAGGCATTCCCCTAAACAGATCGCCTAAGTGTTTATTTATATTATGCAGTTTATTTATATTATTAATTGACAAAATTATCGTTATATATAAGTAGCCATATTCCGTTTGCTTAATAAATTTAATCAGTTAAGTGGCATCTAGCATATACAGAAATATTTCAGTCTCGGATAATTCGAAATTTAATAAATCGAATTCGCGAATATTTTATCCCCTGAATTTCGAACTAACGAGGATTTCCTGTATCAACATTCAAATTAAGCTGTAGAATATAAGAAATAAAAATACAACATGAGAAATTAATTAGACAAAAAATAAACTATCAACGAGTTGCTGAACTTTCCCGGCAATATTTAAAATTTTGGTGGCATCATCTGTTATCCATTTCATTAAAACACTTTTTATATTTTTAATTATTATAAAATGGAAAAAGCTTAATTTTGAAGGTAGGGATGGGTTGTATAAAAAGTGTACGCTAATAACAAGTAAATCGTCATTAAGTCCGACCTACTCCAGATATACACGATCCTCATAATCTCCCCACCCCTCGACATTTAACCACCAAAATTTAATATATCAATCCTCCTAATAAACAAATCTCTCTGCAAAATTTCAGAAATTTTCAAAAAAGAAAAATAAAATAAAAAGCAAAGGAGTTATTAAGCTTCGAACAGGGCGAAAAAATTGTGTTCCCACTCCCAATGTTTTTGCATTGACGTTTCAAGGTGTTCGAAGTCCAAAAATGTAAAAATCTTGGAGGGCCATTTTTTATCGATTGCCATACTTTTCCTCTATTATAAATAACAGACAAGAAAGTAATAAAAGTATTTTTCTTCAATTCGCCCAAGATGGCTGACTAAATAAAACCATTGAACACTGATTGTCGTGAGTTCGCGCCTGACCGCGGTCTGGCCAAATTGAGTTTTCCGTTCATTCTTCACGTGGCTAACAATTAAATAAGGCACTTTTCCGTAATCCCTTTCCGCTCCTTCTTTAATTTAAGCTGCTTCAAAAAAAAAAGGAACTGCAAATTCATTTACAATAAACTGAATTTGTATTTGTAAATTTCTACATTCTTCTGATTTTATAATAAGTGTATTTTCGAAATCTGACGTAATTTGAAATTACGACAAATGACATATTAAATATTTCTCAACGTCCAAGCTCTCTGATGGAACTGAGCGCACCTAACAAAATTTAAGCATAGGGGTCAAAATAAAAACAGCTTTGCATGCGTCTAACGGAAAATAGCCGCGAATAACGAACGAAACACATGAACAAAGCAATCGATGGAGATTTTCTCCATCTCGGTAGGTATGAGGATAGCCTCTCCCGTGGCCGGTAGGTACGAGGATAGCCTCTTTTGTAAATAACAAATGCTTCTTTCTTTTCGGCTTTGCCTCAATTCAATCGCGATACGACAAAGTTGCACGATAACCTGGTATTATTACCAAACATTTTATACTACCATTTATACTATTATACTATTTATACATAACTAAAAATTAAATTCTTTCACAGCCATTCTTTTATTATGAAATTTAATTAAAATTTCGAAATTTGTTTTTCAAAATTAAACTGTAACGAAATCGAGCAAAATAGATAATTTCATATTAGAAATATTGAAGTGTCATTGATTGATTATATTCCTTAGAATTAAAAACAAACTCAAAACAAATTTAATTAATTTAAAATATATACTCTCCACCTCAAATTAGTGGCTTGCCCCTGTACATCATACTTTTCATTTAACAAGAGAGTCGTGCCGGTTATCTATTAACTGCTTTCAGGGAAAAAACTGTTTAAATTGAAATAACGTGACTTCCGGTTTGCATCGGTAGTTCATATATAGATAATTGGGGTCTCCTGTCCCTAAGCTGATCTCTTTCATCTATCTAACTCTGCTCCTGAGATTACAAGACAAACAGACTGATGACAGTGGAAATTTATATGTTATAGTCTAATTTTTTAAAATTGCATTCCAATCAATAATAATCTAGATTTTGAAATGTTTATATATCTAGATGTAAAGATTAGTAGAATCATCTTTTTATTTTCTATATAACATTTATAATTCCTATTTATTCTATTTATTATAACAAAGTAGTTTTAAGTACTCGAAATTTGGGAATATTTGAATTCGAGAAAAGTGATATTCGCTCAGCTATAACGAAAAATTCAGCAACGAGTTGCATAACTTTCCTGGCTATAATGTGATCTTATTTACAAAATAATTTTTATAAATTTAATTACAATATAACTTAATAAAATTGTGTGGGGCGTCATCTGTTATGAGATTTTGTTATAAAAAAGTTTATTTTTAATTATTATAAAATGGCAGACAGCTTAATTTTGAGATTATGGATGAGTTGTAAATATATATGTATATATAAATCTTAATAAGTAAAATCGTCATAGGTCTGACCCTACTAGAGACACACACGACCCCTTTATCTCTTTACTCCTCGACCTTTAACCACCAAAATTTAATAGCATCAATGCCCCTCACATACAAGCCACCATGCTAAATTTCGATACTTAGTCTTTACCCTATCCTAAGGTATTAAGCGTAATGAAACGCCAATACACACAATCTACGGATTTTTTTTTTTGGATTCAGGAGGTCTCAAAACGTGGAGAATTGAAAAAAAAAAAACTTGGCACGATTCCTATACTCTCCCTTGTTATCTACAATAAGTAACAAGGGAAAGTAAAATTATAGATGCATGGAGTGATGGCGCAGCGTACGTTCAGTGACCTTGTTGTTGTTTGGATGAAGCAGCAAATCTTTAATATTTAGTTTCAGAAAATAAAAAATTCAAAATTACTACCGTAATAAAAACTGATGTTAATAATAATAATTGATTAAAACCACATTAGAATTTTGGACCGATTTATCATCACTTACGGCGGTATTCTGTAGTGTGAGTTAAACAGAGAGTTGACGAACTCCAGTTTAAATCTTACTTGAAGTCAGATTATGAGTTATTCATCTTCCGTATTCAGATAAAAATATAATTCTAGGGTAGTGAAACCCTAGAATTAATGTTTTAAAACAATCTTGCGTTCGAGATTAAATAAATCATCCTTTGTAAGCTGCGTCATGATTGGTTACAAGAAAATGTATGTATAGAAAATGGCAGAAACACATGGATATTAACGCACGATGTAATTTCGGCACTTTCGAAGAAAAAGTTACTATTAGAATTAGTAGGAAAGCATAAGCAAAGCTGTAAGAATTTGCTCTAGAGGTATCATGATATTTTTTTCTTGAACGTTGTGGTTGAAGTTTTTCACTAAATCGACCTAATAAGCATTTTTAAATATCCTTTTTTATGCAGATCGAGAAATAAATTCACCTTCATTCAATTATTCCAAATCATTTTTTATCTCACCATTAATTTTTCCTATACAGAAATCACGACAGTGACGTCGAAAGTATTGCAAATATTTCAAATTATTCTAAATTTTTATCATTTTCTCGTCTTCGCTACTGCAGGTCGCCATTTTAAAATGAGCGCAATTGCGCAAGCGTTAACTTTCGATTTTAACTCTATATACCAACTCTAAACACCAATATTTCGAGTCAGAGTTAACTGAATCTGTTAAGATTACTCGACTTTGTGAATGCCAGTTTCACGCAAACTCTAGATTTAACGTTTACTCGCCCTGCAGAATACGACCGTTAAAGGAATGGAGATTAATTGCGGGAAGCATGACTCCCACATCCTACAGCGGTGCTCCCTGATCAGTATCATTGGTGATCCCTTCTCCACCCTTCTTACTCAAACCCGAGACCTTAGAGATAGTACACATTAGGCGTTTTGAAGCACGCGCTTTGGTAACATAAAGCGCGTGCTTCAAAACGCCTAATGGGGTGAGGCGAGGGACTTAACTTTAGATTAGTTTAACTAGTTTTAAGTTAGTAATAAGTTAGATTTAAGATATCTATAAGTTAATTTTAAGTTAGTCTGTAAATTCGCTGTTTCTCCTAGTTGTTTCAGTTACATTATTCTGCTTCTTACATGGTCATAGCTTAGTTTCTGTATTACTTTAGTATTACTTTGAAGCCTTTAGTTTTAAGCTTTAAACTTTACTCTGTCGAGCTTTTATGTAGCTGCACTACTTATGGATGTATGCTACAATTCAGATTTTCTTTTAGACCCACGGCTTTGCAGCCTAAAATTGCACGTAAACATGGAGGGAATTGTAACTTTACGTACACCGCTCAGAGAAATCCTTCCTTTCTCTTCTTTCTATCTTCCGCCGGCTAAACACTTTGTGTACGGCCGTTGTCTTTCGTTTAAATGATTGTGGGAGGTTGGAAATGGTTTTAGAAACGACGACATGGATTCGAACGTTTCAGTTTTTACATCATACAATTGTACAGTACTTTAATAAATAATTGCTCTGTTTTGAATGCAGATTAATTTCACGAAATTTTGAAGGTAATGTTCGAATAATCAATCGTTTTAAGTTGTAATCGTACAGGAGGCGTTATGAATTTTTCCGAAGCGAGAAACGTTGAACGGAAATTTTCTGTGATTGTAAATCAATCACAGAAAATAGGTCTGCAACCTAACAAATGCTGTTAATAGATTAACTATCCTTATCTTGTGTAGTACTGTATTTACTAACAAAGCACTAAGCGTGTAAAATAACATAATTTGCATCTTACCGCTGAGGCGTCAACGCCCGGCTTACGGAAAACGAGAGGGGTGATCAATACACACAGTAACGATAGGCGGGAGTTTGAATTGCCGCCAGTAAACATCATTTCGAGCCTGATGAAAAATCGTGAGAGATCCTTTTGCGATTTAACGAATGTATGCACGGTTTTCTTTGTCAAATGAATAGTTTTATTTGCAAAATCGATTTGATTAGCGGCGAGTGGGATCCTTGGGGGAGACAAATATTTCTAAAATGATGATTTTGTAAGGTCCAGTTGCCCAAATAACTTATTATTGTTATTATTTTATATTGTTTCCTTGTTAATAAAAGTTATTGTTAATAAAATTTCAGAAAATTCTATTTTTTAACTGCATTTTCGTAAATAACGAAAATTTTCGGAATTATTCGTATTACTTTTCCCCTTAATAACTACATCGTTAAATTCGCGTAAATCTGTACGGCTTTTAACTATATGCTTAAATTTATAGGGAAAGCTATAAGAAAATATTTCTAATAATTTATTCTTTATTTTGATATCTACTAATTTGAGCATTCTTATTTATAAGTTTAGTAAGTAATCAATTCAGAAATAAGTAGATTTAATGATCATTGCAATGTAAAAATGTGTGACCTCTGATATTGAACTAATTTTGAAAAATAATAGACACAGGATGCAACTATTACCAACTATAAAAGTGAAAAACGAAGATGTCGATATGTTCGAAGAAAAAATAACAGTTCGAAATGGTAATGTTTACATTTTATATGAGTGATGATAATCATTATCCTTATCTTTAATAAAAATTGATTTATTGATTACCTTGAAGACAATCTCGACAACTGTAAAACAGAATGTTCGGATATGGAAGTGGATGAAAATGGTAAGAACATTATGTAATTTGTGTGTGTGTGTCTGTGTGTGTAAGGGTTCTCAGGAAAGAGATTACTTCCTCTCTGCTGAAAGCTTTATCAACAAATTCGATATCGTTGGAAAGATTATGCTCACAAATTAATACTTCGATCTTTTCAGTTTTTGACTGATTTTTGCGGTTTCACTGTATAAACCACGAAGCCTTTAACTGCAATGGATGGTCTGCCTGGTAAAGCGGCTTTAATATAGCCGAATAAACAAACCAATGACATAGAATGTTTTAAATAAAACTGTCTATGATATTGGTTTGTTTGTCTAGGTGTATTAAAGCCGCTTTACCGTACAGCATTCCCTCGTAATAATGTATCGTATAAATTCGTTATTCATATCATACCTAACTTAATGTGCGGCGTGAGTCGTAACACGCAGCACATTCTGACGTTCATCATTCTATAAAATTATAAGTAATAATGATATAATTTATATAATAAAGCTTTATTAATCTGAATTATGGCGTTTGAATTAAGGGATAATTCGATATGAAAAATCATAAATTTAACATTATCACTGATGAATCCGGAAATCATCCTTTTGGGAAAAAATCGCACCAGATACAGCTCGTTAATTTTATACTGTGCGTGTCCTAATAGTAGTCTAAGTACCAAGAAAAATATTTAAATATTTTTGAACAAAAATTTAGTGTCAAGCAGTAGATGTGTCAATTGCTATATAAGAGGTATGGTCCGTGAAAGTGATGTGAAGATAATTTTAAAAAATTGCTTGTTTAAATAAAATAATATCCAGATTAACGAATGCTCAATACATTGTTTCTCAAATTTAATCTATAGTACGCGCACGTATGTATAAATTATAACGAATTGTTCACATCTTATCAATGAGTATGATAAAATGAAAAAGAATATGTCGGCCTTTCCTTTAGAAAGAGACTCCATTCCTTACATGAATCGATGTAATTTAGACAATGACATATGTTACATGTAGTATCTTTGCATATCCGCTTGTAACATTGAATACTTTTCTAATAATGAAAAGAATTATTTAAATTTTTCCATGTTATATTCGGAATTATTGCCTATAGATATTGTTTTCATACTAAATATTGCCTTTCAGATAAAAATGATATCGTTAAAGGAGATCTTTTGTCTACAATAGGAGTAAGCGACAACGTCAGTCTCTATTTTCCCATAGGAGTGGGCATAAATTACAACAATGACACTATTATATGCGACACTGGACATCACATGGTATGGATCGTAGATGAATTTGGAAGACCTAAACAAAAAATTCATCAAAAGAAAGGTGAGTTAGAAATCATTGTGTTAAATATAACGGATAAATATAACTTCTGTCACGATTACGTTTACGATTATATAGCTTTTCAAACTTTAGTTATAGAGAAGTTAGACGTTTGAGTTATACATATACTAGAAAAAAATTCTTGTGCAGAGATTGAACAGGGGGATTTTAATTGAATTAAAATTCTACAGTTCAATCGCTCGACACAAACGTGTATCACCAAATTCTAACATTTTCCAAATTTATTAGAACTGTGTTTTACCTTATTCTGTATCGTCTTCAAGTTGAAAATTAAAGGCCTTTTTTAAAATCGTCTTTTGTTGAACAACAAATAGACTTGAGTTATCCATTTACATGCAAGGTACTGTACGTTTGGAGCTTTGTGTATGCTCCTCTTTAATTGCCTTTAAATTACAAATTGATTTTACATTTTACAATTTTTTTAACAAACAGAACATAAAACACACATTTACCTTATTAAACTTCGACTGCATGTGAATCTATAGAAGAATTTTACAACAACTATTTCAAATGGGTCCAATTATGAAAATAATTCTTTACAATTTTTTTAACAAATAAATTTTTTCTTTAACCAATTCACATAAATATACGCAGGAAAGAGCCTATAAAGGAAGGTTGACTTTGCCAAAGTTGATTGTGTTCCAATAATTGCAAAAGGACATTAAAGAAGACTACAAGAATCTTTTTGTATATGTCTTCAATATTGTACATTTTTTAAATATATATTTCATCCTGGATTTTTAGAAGTTTTTTCTTTATAATGTGAAATGCTTTCTACTGTTTCATCATTAGCAGTATAAAATAATACTTTTTCTATTAATAAGGCAATAGAAGTTAAAATTGAACTGATAATATTTACACTCACTGCAATAATCAAGGTAATGCAAACAGTATATGATTTTAGTGATCATTATATAAACATTTATCCTATCACTCAACATAGTTTGAACTTTAAATGAGGATTGGAAGCATTGTGGATGCTCTATAAAGAAATTCAAAAATATTTCAAAAGCAAAATAAACCAAACTTCAATTTTCAGAATTTTTTGAAACAGAATTGTGATACTTCTCAAACAATTCAAAACACTTTTATAATCTGTTTTCATTTTTTTAGTTTATAAAAATTTTTGTTACATTATTTTATTTTTGTTGTAAAATTAAATTTTTTATTGTGTAATATATATTTAGTGTCATGGTTATCCTTCTTCCCTAACTCTTTATTTCTTAAAGAATCGAGTCTGTTTTGCAACTGTGGTTTTATCAATAATGTCAGTTTTTTGGGATATAACCTTTATAGTTGATGAGGGATGCCTGTATTTATATTATTTAGAATTTTATTTAATTATGACAATATTACGAGTGGTTATAATTAAATTCTCCTTACTCAAAGCCCAGTGGAACTGATTCTAATGGACACACAAGGTGCGTTCCATAAGTAATGCGACTAATTTTTTCACAACATGACCATATGCCGTAGCTAGTTCTAACCTGCTGTGCTAGGTGGGGTGTTAGTTTCAAAACTCACCCGGTCTCGTTTGCCTTGTAGTGCTACAGCACTAATTGTATTGTAAACAAATGTAATGTCTTGTTTCGGTTTATCTCGTATCAGATTATGGATCCGAGTATGTAAAATTTTCGTTCATGTCGGAAATCACCTTTTTGTGGTGTGTGCTCACTGATTGGGTGNTTTTTTAAAATTAATTCCTAAAATGTATAAGATTCTGTATTACATATTCTCCAACAGCACAAATCTTCGGTGGTAAAATGACTGCGTGACTTAATGACGATCTTTTATTGATAGCCTTCTTGTCACAGTACCACAGTAAACATTTGAAATTAATAAAAGTTCAATTTTCATGTATGCTATAAACGAATAGCAACATACTACAAAACAGGCTACAGCATATATAATTAAAAATTAAGAGAGAAATTGTGAAGTAATCAGTAGAAAATTAAAACCCGAATTTCGATTTTGTAGGCATTTATAATTTAATATTTGAATTGTAAAATTTAGTTAGAAAATTTAAAATCTATAAGTTATTAATTTGTGACAATTAAATAATGCTTTGTTTACTCGTGAATTACTTCTGAATTTATAATAATTCAGTTAAAATTATTGTTTAATACATAAACTTTTTTAAATCTTACAGCAACAAACTTCTACAGACCTTCAGCAGTAGTTGTATTGGAAAATAACAATTTTGTCATAAAGGATAACTTAGGACTTTATTTATACAACAAGGATGGTATTTTTATTCGAAGTATTGGCGAAACGGTCCTCTGTAAACCTTACGGTAAAACAATTTTTTATAAAAGCATTCTTTTTTGCGTAAATTATCACACTTTTTAGATATAGATGATGAAACACTATTTCTATGAATATGAGAATTGTTCACTATTTAAGTAAAAAGTTAATAATAAATATTAATGAAGGCTAAATAATGAGATAAATAATGTTTAAAATGTGTTTGGGGAATGATTATTTTTAGAGATGGGCGAATATCACTTTTTTCTCGAATATTTGAATACCCTAACTACTTAGTGAATTTAATTACCTCATATAAGTTACTTATTTAATATTTCTGTATATATACTGTCTACTTGGACCTTGTTTATTAATAGGACTTATACTGGTGTAGTTTCTGATTAGCAAAGAGAGGAGATCTTACTTGTTAGTCAAAAGTCAAAACAAAATATCTTTATTTTCACCTATAAAACAGTGAGGAAATAGAGGTAAAAAGAATTCATGCTTATTTCTTTAATTTATTATCTAACTTTTGTTTATTTCAATATATTAATAAAGTAAAAAAATAAAAAGAAAACAATTTACTAAATTTTAAGAAATGAAACTCAAACTTTTAATTTTGTCTTCGAGTTTTAAAGTATCTTCTTTAGGTACTCATATCTTAACTACAGTATATTAACAAATATTGTCTCATTCTCACATATTGCAAATTTTTATTTAAGTAAACAGAACTCAAAAATGTTCAGAATTTAGTCTGCATATGTACAGTACTTTATTTCTGTCTCGCAGCAAGTCTTACTAACGTCTATTAAGTCATACTTTATCCCCTCCCACCTAAAAATATGCTACAATTAGTAGACACAAAAATATACTACAATAGGTGACAGAAGGGGTTTGAAAATAATGGCGTCACAAAACACATATTGTAATTTTTTATGGTAGAAAATGCGCAATCAAGTCGAATACGAATAAAATTAGATGTTCAATACAATTTTATAAGTTCCTTTGCTATCCTAATCGATCAATTATTAAATTTATTTTTATATATACAATTGTTTATATGATATTCGAAGATGACAAAGCAAACACAATAAGAAACGTTCAAATTTCAAACATTTGAATTTTGTGTACTCATCTATAATTTGATAGCAGAGTGATATTCCTAACAGAAAGTGTACAGTACGTTCGCAAAAATTTACTGCACAGATCTGTGCAGTAAATTTTGGGTTAAAGTTAAAGATAATTTGAAAAAATGGACTAGTTTTTCAAATGACCAATAGCACACGTATCATATGAAGTTTATAAAGCACTTTAGTTTTTAAAATGGCCTTATTTGAAAAGATTCCGTTAAAGTTATAAAGGCATATATTATAAAATATGCTGTCGGACAACTCTAATTTAATCCACTTTGACCCAAATCGTGTTTCTATACAGATTTCAACATCATAGAATTTAAGGTGAGAAACATGCTCGTGCGTGCAAATCCGGTCGTTATTGATAGCAAATATACATTTATCGGACCATCCGCAATATAATCGTCGTGTATCGGTACATGTTAATAAAGGGTAGGTTATTTATTAATTAATTATTCAAATATTTTTGAGTTAGCCATCCGTTGGTTATTTCTTGATCTACCATCGTAGCCGTACGAGAAATCGAATATTGAATAGTGTCTAGTATTAGAGAATTCGCGGATACTTTCGCCTATTTCTAATTTGCATCAGTATATTCATTTACATACATTATTATATATCAGAATATCATTAATTTCACAATTAGATATGAAATGATCTTTCTTTCGATCTTTCTGAAATCAGAAAATATTGAAATTCTTACAGTGCAATAATATAAAATTTGAATTTTTTACTTAAATTTTGATTATAATTAATATAACTTTATAAATATTTTTTCTATAATTTTTATATAATGTAGAGGTTTCATATGAATTTTACATCGTTATTCATTAATTTACAGGACTTGCAATTACAGAAGACGAAAAATTGATAACATTAAACGAGACATGGAAATCAAGTCTCTTTGTTTTCAACAAAGATGGCGGCGTAGAAAACCGTAATTTATACGAACCATTATTGAAGCGACATGATAAATCGAAATGTCGATTTTTGGCATATTACTCTAATCAAGTCGTCGTATCCGATTTAGGTAGGAATAAATATACAGAGAATATTTATGAGATTTTGGATGGAATTCAGAAATATCACTCGAGCCACTCTCATTTACTTTACACTCATTCAGCTTTACTCACTCAAAACGGTACTCAGAAATAAACGAGCAGCATGAGTCATCGCAAAGTGAATGAAATGAGTTGAAAATAAGTGAAAAATGAGTGACATTTAAGGGACACCTAAAATCCCTCTCAAAATGAAAGATTGTGTTTACTTCCATATTTTGTAAAAATTGTATTTCTTTATCAAATGCAAGAAAACTGACTGTGTTAGCATTTCTAAAAGGAACAAGCATGGAATCACTATAAGCAATGAATTCAATTGAGTGGCATAGCATTATGGGCCCAACAGAAAATTTTATAGAAGGGCAAAGCTTGACAAATAATTACGTTATTAAATTTTATTTCCTTTTTTTGGTGTTTCTTAAAAAAGATAGTTTTCCGTGGTGGAACGTATAATGTTACATATCTCAATCACCTCTAAGATTATAATTTGTGGAATTTTTTTACTCTATTCCAGGGAGGGGAAAATTTCCCGTTTATATACCAGACAGTTTTTATATGCAAATTTGGACTTATTATACTCAATATACTTAAAAATTATTCAGTGCTACTGAATTTGATTCATTACTAGTAGTCCTTATATTTTTTTCCCTCTTAAAAGCTGATACAATCAATTTTCTTGTATTCGTTTATATCTTTGTTTTCGGAGACTCCTTCTTCAGATAATGTTTTCGTCGTCTGTTACAAACGATTTTCTCTCTTATGTTATAATTCACACTTTCGATAATCTCATAAAATTAATGAAATAATCACGTTTGGATGCAATAGTACTCCGTGATGGTGACTGCAGTTATATCACATTTTAATAACGAAAGTATGACACATTTTCTGATACGCGCACTCATTCCACTTTCACTTTATATATTAAATGTGAAAATGAGTTGCATTCATTCTCAACTGAGTAAGAAACCAGAGAGTGTAGAGTGAGGGTGATTGGTTCTTGAGTGATATTTCTGAAATTATCTAAATTACCGAATGATTATCAGGTCTGAGCAAGATATATAAAACTACTGTGGATGGCAAATTGATTAAAACATTCGGCACTTTTGGAGACAATGACGGAGACTTGAACGAACCATCTGGTATCGCTTTGGATCCGAAAGGTACCATGCTTATAGGCGATAGCAGAAACGATCGCTTACAGGTAAATTAACATTAAGTAAACATAATCAATGTAACGGAACTTAACACTGATTTAATATTACAGATATTTGATTGGGAAGGTGATTATCTCGGTAAAGTGGCATTGTCTGATCTCATTCGAAGACCATCAGACGTAACTCTAACCAAAGATGGCCGTTTATACGTTCTCAATTATTTGGATCATTTCTTATCAATTTATCGTCTTAAAATGAATGAATGAATTTTTAAATGGTTTCAGCGCATTGCCATGACAAAAGCCAAAGCATCGAACATAAAGAGAAATTTAATTCTTTGTTTTTGATGTCAAATACAGATTTTTTTTTTCAGTTTAATTTTTATGTAATATTCTTCCATAGAATATAGTACATTGATTGTTAATTTTATTTACAAAATGAAATTTACATTAAAGTAAGTCTACTTTTGATTTTTAATTTAATAAAATATCCACGACACGCTAACATAAGTTAATGTTAAAAATAAATTATTTATAATGGCGTAGCCATATGAATTTATGTATATGTAATGTATTGATATTTAATGTAGATTATACAGAAACAAAGTTTTTGTATAATCTACATTATACATCTTTTAGAAGTCGATTAATACTGTATATCAAAAATTACGAAGTTACATCAGTTTGATCATTTGAAAGATAATTGCAAAATTAATAAAAACTTATGAAAACTGGAATATTGCAAAGTATGAAGTCTTTAATAGAGTAAAAGGTTTGATTAGAACAAAGAAAAGTAAGTGAAAGGTGCTGAATTTTGAATTCAAAACAAAGCAAACATTATATGAATAAATAGTAACTTGAAGATTATTAATCAATTCAAAGGTCCTTGTGTAGACTTGAGAACGAAACAAAAAATAGAAATTATTTTTGAAAACAATCATAAGATGAAATGTCTTTTGATAGAATACTTTTGTCATCACGTTTCTATTTTGTGTGTGGATTGTTATAAGAAACTATAAAGAAATGATATCTGACATTTTTGCGCTTGAACTGCTATCGTTAATTAGTACAGTATACAAGCGTTAAAATTCTGCGATTGTTTAATAGATGAATTATATAAATCTGATTATGTATATATATAATTGTATAGGCTTTACTTGTGATTATACACGACATGGATTAGACAACCATTAATGTCCTATATGTACAGTATATAGAAGTTTACATATAAACAAGTCTTGTATATATAAATTTGTAAGTATATATATATATATATATCTACGACTTATTCTTATATATAATAATATAGTCACACTAGATGTAGAATAACAGTCATACAACGGAGCATTTTATTAGTAAAGTAACACGATAGCGAATACATATCAAGTGCTATACATTCGTAGCAACCAGAAACAGAATCAGATCGGTAATTAAAATGCAGCATTCCATATGCTTTAAGTAGGGACTTTAAAATAAAACGACCATTCCGGTAATTGATTTCATGCATATACTATTGATATTATATTTTGTAAACAGTTTGAAATGTTTGTGTTATGTTCTGTTTCTTTGTGTGGTGATAAAGCATTTATTAGTGTGTAACTTTTAATTTTCTAAGAAATAAAAGTATGTTTAAATATATTTCTAATTATATTTTGTTTTTAAAATTCAAAGTACATTTTCTCATAAATTCATAAACTGACATTTGAAAGAACAAAATCACAATTATACCAGTCCTAGTAGCCCGGTTTGTCCCCTAGTGGGCGTTCTAGGCATTTCATTACAGATTATAGATATACAAACAGCGCGATCAATGGCTTATATTATTAGATATTCACTTTTCATTCTAGAAAAACACTGTTTCAGCTGGAATTAATTTTTTTTTTAATTTTGAAATTAACAAATTATAAAATTCTATTGAATTACACTGTATAACTTAAGTAAAATATCTATTTGATGGAACTTCCGGCAGTTCTCTACACACAAATTAAAAGAAATTAAAATAAAGGTATCCAAGTAGGAATGCTGTGTTATACAAAACGGTTCGAGAATTGGGGACATCCTCGTACTGTACAAACGTTACAATTTTTTAAGTATAAACACCGTCATTTGATATTTTTTGTTTCAAGCAAACACTGTTGTCTCACATTTGCCATGGATTTTAGAACATTGAAATTTTCAATGTTTCGATCCTTTAGCTCGGTTTTCTTTAATTAATGAGAACTGATGGTACAATTTTCTTCCTTGTCCTAGCTTCATATTCTAGCTTACCTATAAATCAAGTGTCGTCGTTGATGGCAGTGTTTTGTTTTTTATACATTAAAAGTTATTACATAAAAGACTAAAATTTTTAAAGATCTCTTAGACAATGAAAATATTAGACTTTATGAAAAAAGTAGAGAAAATCAAGATATTGCCAATACTTTAGATTAAGATCAACCAGAAAGCTCGATGATACTTTGTTACAAAAGAAAACGTCCTCGTTTAACGGTGTTTAGCAATGAAATTAATGTGTAGTATTAGTATTTTGATTGTGATTTATTGCTTTGATTTAATTAATTATTGATTGCTTTAATACAGTAATGGCTATTAGTCAGTTAACCAAGCATTTATAATGAATTTTCTGGTTCACGAGTCGTATAGCATCAGGATATTGTGATCATGTACAGAAACATTTAATATGTAATTGTTTTTAATGTACACATTTTTAGTGGTTATTATTTTTGAATAAATCTTGAGTAAAGCCAGATGCTTAACAAGTCTCAGTGATCAGCCAAAAAGATTCAGTACCCAGCCCTTCTTATAGTCAGCCGTGTTTCTTATTGAGCTGCAATTTTCAAAAATTGTAAACCTATAAATTACCACTAGCATCTCTCTCTCTGTCTGCCTGTCTGCCCTTCCTTAATCTTGAGAACAGAAATAGATGAAAGTCGAGACTAAATATGGAAAGTTTAGAGACGGGAGGCCCGATTAACTATACCTTGTATATGAATTTCCAGCACCGAATGTCGTCGTTTCAATTCAAATATTTCCCTCTGAGTGGAGTAAGACAAATGACTAGCATGACACTATTCTTAACAGGAAAAGTATGATGTACAAGGGCTAGAGACTACTATAATAAAATTGAGAACCTTTCGGAGAAAAATTGCAGCCTAGCATTGTGACGATGTCACAATAAATAATTGCTCGTTTATGTTTAGCATTTTTTTTTTGTTTTTTTTTTTTAGTTTAGATATGAGTGAAGTGGACGTAAACAAATCTCAATATAACATAATGTTCTGAGTTTCTAAGTTTTATTTACATAATCTTTACAGTCAAATAAATTGCATTGTTATAAACGTGATAATTCACAACTGAATACAGGTAAAATTTACAGCCAAATATGGACTAATAAGAGTGGTCTGTCGTGAAAAAGATGTGACATTATGACGGATTGATTAGCTTTCTTCTGTGCAGAACGTTGAATGTTCAGACTAGCATTTTAAAAAAGCAACGTACCATTTCTGCCCAATATCACCTTAAATGGAGTGGCCTTATTCAAAGACATGACAAGTTTTTATGTTGTATTTAAGAGGTCCGATCTCTTGAGATAAAAACCAACTATTGCCATGAAATTACCAACTATTTTGTTATGAAATTACCCAAGCCACTAAATTTTTTTCAGCATTCAGAATTGTCTGAGGGTCTATTTTTTTGAGCCTTCATAGATATATCCATGAAATCTGTCTTCTAGAGTTCCTCTGGGCACCCCAAACCTCTAACTTGTTTCCCTTATAGATAGATGATTCTACAGTACCTAATTACAGTTAGTACGTCTGCAAGAGCGCTTTCTTCTTACTGATGAATTGGGTGGTGGTGGTGACAAATTTATGTTTCTCGTAATTACGAAAAAGAATAGTAACCTAACCATATGTTTTGTATTATTCCTTTGTTTCGTATAGTACTGATTCGCATAACACGGCACTTTTTCGGACTCTAACTACCGTGTTATACTGAGGAGTATTTTCTTATTTGCTGAAGAAATTACTTGGAGAAAACAAAAATCTGAATAACTCCATTAATTTAGTATTTTTTTTTAACTCAAAGGATTTGAGATTGCGTCGTTAATGGTAGAGATGAATTTTCTATTCGTATACAATGCAAGCCAACATATATTTTGCGTTAATTAAATATTGTACAGATAATTATTTAAACAGTAGTTATTACTATAACGTATAGATATATTTGATGAAAAATTTTCTAGTGACATTTTATTCTCCGTTAGCATTTTTTTTAATTGAATTTCACATACACCGTACATTATACAAAGAAATAAAATTATGCATTATTGATAATCACTTGTGTGTGAAACGTAACATTTAGAGAATATTTCAGTATTACAAGTATTTCTGCGAAAAATAGTATCATTTCGCGACCCATAGTTCGAGAAATGTTTTTCTAGACTAACTTTGATGTTTAAACGCACTATTTAGTTTAGTCATAAATGGTGCTACTGTCGATAAATGCGGTCAACTATATTTTCTTAAATGGGAACCCCAATTATTGATTACTCTAATTCTATATAAAAAAGTAATAAATTATCCTGAAAAAAATGTTATTGTTAAATTTAATAATCAGAAGTTATAGGTGTTTGAAGTTAAGAGTTTGGAGTTGAAGCTTCATGTTTCTCGAAGGTATAATATTTTGTCGATGTCTTTAATTGATTAGTAAATGCTTCACCATAAAACATTTTTGACAATTATGTTTACTTTATTTTATTTAATGACAAAAAAGTTCATATGATTTTGTCATTGCCATGAAAATTTCTGGTTTAGACATTCCTGAGTCTTGTGCAGTTTTTGTGGTCCTAAGTTGAGGATTTTGAGTTACTGCCGCTAATACATATAAAACCAATATAACATCTTGTCCCACCTTGATATTAAACAAATTTGGTCTGGACACATTTTTTATAGGATTTTCTGATAACAATTATAAATGAATCATCCCGTATATTATAATGATCTTATGATTCGATTAAGTTATCGTGTTGCTGATGCCCTTGTAAAACCAGCCCATAAACGCTATAAATTCAATTTCAAGGTTTTTTTTTTAACTATCAAAGGCTTTCATGACATCGCGTAACTTGAATTAACATATGTATATTAACATATATTTGATATATTTGGATATCACATTACATGCACATTATCATTACAGATACACATATACACCTTATGAAACTACAAATGTGCTACTTTATGAAGAATGCTTCTTTTACTAACTGCACGATATTCTTGCAAACATGTACAGTAATTAGAAATTTCCAAACAATTAATAATTTAATATGTTACAGAAGAGTGCAAATATTCAAATATTCTTAAAAGAATGTTTTTGAATTGGATATACGCATTTTCTGTGCATAAATGGGGAAAATACGCTCAAAATAACCATGTGCCAAAATTTACTAAAATTTTTCAGTGCAAAATTAGGCAATTGAAGCTTTCGTCGTATAATGCATCATTGTAAAAGGCAGACATCATCACTTGTATTATACGATAAAAGCTTTAAAATAGTTATGACTGCCATAATGTACACATGTGTACAAATATCACTAAAAGCATTAAATAATAATAATCTAGTAATAATTGAATCTACAAGAATTATGCACATTTAAAATTACTTACTTTTTCTCTCTCAATACTTGACATTGTTTAATTTGAGTGTATCCAATTATTGATTATCAATAAATGTTAATTACAAAAATTTAATTCTATAATTTACAGATAAAAGTAGGACACTGGTTCTAGTAAACTTATGTTTATATATTAAAAATGATAATATTTGTTTTTTTAATCATTCTGTTATCTACAAAATAGCATATGTTAACGCTTTGTTAGTTCCCTCGACTTAGTCTATGTTTTCTATACGTCTTTAGAATTCACGAAAAATTTTTATAGAAAATATGTTCATAACTTACTTTATGAAGAACTATTATTAACTTCTTCATTATTATTATTATTAACTATTATTTGGTTACAGCAATGCGACACTTGGGCGATCTGCCGAGGGGAAACCCTCCCAGGATGACATTTATGGGAAACCGGCCTCTATTTTAGTGTTATTTATGTAAATAAAACTCGGAAAACTCCGCGAGGCCAATTACGAGCGTCCAATGGTTTCACTGATGGCCGTTAGTGTTGTATGTATTAAAATTATTAATCAATGTTTGTAATGATAAACCATTTGTATTTTAGACTCCTGTAGACCCATCTAATTGTAACAAGCACGGCTGAAGAGGGACAGTCAGGCTGTCCGAAATTCAATACCATCGTTATAATAAACCAGTGTTCACCCATTTCTGTGTGCTCTGACAACGTCAATAGTGTGTGATAAGTTCTCTGTAAAGCCAAAACCCAGTGCTCATTAATTCATATATCGTATTTATTGTTATTGCAAATAATTTATTTAAATTAAATAAAGATAATGCAAGTGTTTGTAGCATTTAAGAAAGTGTACATATTTTGTATATGCAAGTGTTTATATATGCATTTAGGAGCTGATTAACGCTTCAGGAAAGAAAATTGTAAGATAAACGGCATTTTTGTGGTTCTCCAGCT